CGCACCGACACTGCGACCGTTGTTCGGTCTACGGGGGTTGTAAATTCCCGACTCTAATTTGACAATGTGGTTCGCGATGCTCTGTGCCCACTTAAAGTAACAGAGCTGGTAGTGAAGGGTATTGACTGTTGTACTTTTTAACAGAAATAACGACTTCAATTTAGAAGACTAGATATAGTACATGGAGTGTTTTCGGTCTGTGTGGTATCGAATGATTGTTGAAGACTATCCGCGCCTCGCGATGTACCGGCCTTTTTATTGAGGAAGCTTCTTTGTGAAGCTCCCCCTTCCCGGATAGAGACGTGCACTGAATGGTTTTTGCCGAAAATTATGTTTATCCAATCAGTGCCCTTTTAAATTTTAGCAACTCCCCGAGAGCGACTGGTCTCGGAGAGGACGTAATTGTTTTATGACACGGTCGAAGGGTTTCCGCCGCCTTCGACGACACAACGGAAATTCCTCCAGGTCAACTCACGGTAGCCTCGAGTACCGTGTTACGCACTCGGCTCGAGATGACCCTTCGGAAATCCTAGGTTTACGACACGTTATGGTTGGTGGAATAGCCGAAAATTAGTTTTGGAGGCCGGATGGTCGCCAGACGTAAGAAAGGTCTTTATCCTATTGTCGAATCCGTGTCGTAAACCTGGTCGACGAAAACTCGACGGAATTTGTTCTTCCGTGCCGGAGCAAATGTGCGGCGCAGATGTGCTGTGGAGTGTCTGATTACTTGTTTTATGGGTTGAAAAATGCCTATAGTTGTACTGGCATGAAACGTTCTACGAGAACGGAACATAATGATGACACTTTAATAAAGCCTGATACCTTATCAGGGCATCCAGTTGTCACAGATTTTGTTATATCAGTAATTAATGTTCTAGAAAATCTTGAAAATGTAATAAATATATATTCTACACTCGCCAAATATCAGGAGAAATGAAAATATTTTTATGAAACACCGATTGAGAGAGAAATGTGTCACGGATAATAAAACTGCAAATAATTTGTTATAAACATTAAATATAATTAGCATAAACTATCTGCACCATGTGTACAATCATAATGTTAACAAATATAATTTTTTCAATTTTTTAAATTAATTTTTGTACGGACCGAAACGTATTAAAAATAGTAAAAATTTAAATCTATTTTATAAACAAACTGATGGATACATTTTAATGAAAGTTAGCTTGTTGAATACCTTGAAGTCTCTTCTTTAAAATGCACTTTAGTGCATTTTGATACCATGCTCCGTTTCGGAGATATCGCAAGTTGAAGATAGGGGTAATTTTCTAATTTTCGGCTATCGCTGTCACCCTCGCATACTCGGACCTCTCTCTCTCTCACTCACTTACTCTAGTGCACTGACCTACCCCACGTGTGGAACATTTGCGCGGGTCAGGGATTCATTCATAAATACTACTTTTACTATTAGTTTACGTTTTTGCAGAAATTCCGGCAGTTCAATGGGTCGCGAGGGACGCGCTGCACCGTCTAGTTTCAATCTTAATATCTCCGGAACCAGTTGAGATATCGAGATGGGACAAAAGGCATTTTAAAGGGGAAGCTTTCCTTTACATTCTGCCTCCACTAACATTCAAAAATGTTGTCCCGTTGCGGGTGAAATTTTCAGTCAAATTTAACGTTACGTTCCTCCACCATGCAAAGGATTCTTATACATTTTATAAATTGTGTACCATTATTGTAGGATCTTGGAAAAAAGCAAGGGACCGCATACGGGAATTGACCGCGGGATCTCCGCTTGATAGCTGATCGATTTGGTTTTGTCATGGTTAGATTGGGAGGATTAGGACTCCTACATTAGAACAGGATCTGATATTGATGAGCGAAAGGAAAATTAGGCAGATATCTGAGAATTTTTGATTTAATAGACCTTATTTATCGATTAAATTTGATTGTTTCAGCATTGAACTTTGTTGTTCTAATGGACTCTACTATTGCCCAAGTAGACTTGACGAGATCCACTGTGACTCGTTTGAGATCCAGTAAACTCCCCGTTGGGACATACCCTTTTAGCAAAACTACTGAATAAAGTGATCGGACAGGCTACTATCTCCTAGGACCGAAGAAATGATCGTCTAGGGACATTTAAGCTAGTTTCCGATCAGTTTCCGCGCCTATAAAAAGTGTAATGTCACAAGTCCTGCCTTTTTGTTACCACTTTTTCCTTCCACCGAGCTTCCGATCAGTTCCTTTGAATTTTTTTCATCGCTCGCCTCTAGCTATCCTTGTCCCGCGGGGTTCAACTGCGGCAGTAGGGAGTATTTAGTGCCAGATTCTTTTATGCGGTTACTTCCAGCGTCTGCTCGAGCCACAGGGCAATAAGGCGGAGGTAGATTCAGTGGGGACGCATCTTCGCCCACACTTTGCCGGCTACCGCCGTGGCAAAAAGAGAGGAAGTCGCGCGGCGAGAAAGGTATCGGCGTCGGAATTGAATTACCAGCGACGGAACTTCTTTCGCCGGGTCATCGATCCTCCTCTCATCCGTAGCAACAGTCATAAGTGAATAAAGGGAGGAAGTTAGCAGGTGGAGGTGCGGGAAACACGCAGAGAAAGCCAGCAGGAGGGTTTCGTATCCGAGTTTTATTCAGAAAATCCGCATTCCTCCTACGTACACGACCTGGTATCCGATCTTGCCTTGGCAATTTACAAATTGCGTCCACTGTCAAATAGACACACACATACACACAAACAAACAAACACACACACACGTGCGTGCACCGTGGAGAAACGGCGGTCGTCTATGAGCACACCGAACTGTCCCGGACGTCGACGCGATTGTCCGACACCGCCATTCTTTCGTGATCGAGCTTATTATCAGATCAAAGTCTCGATCCTCGATGGAAAGCGGCTCCGCGTTCGACCACCTCGCGTCCATGTATTTGTCTTTTTAAGGAATTCACTGCGACGGCGAACTGACAAGTTCATCGCTGAATAATTCAGTTCGCGGGGTCCCGACGACCCGCACCGACTAATTTACTACTCCGTCGCTGAATCTCGATGACTTCGCAGACCCTCGTCCGTGCCGTTCGGGCACCCGGTGAACGTGATCGTTGTCTCTTGCTCCTTGATCGGCAGGCTGGCCCTAACGTCGTTACCAAGGGTGGACATGTGCATCGTGCTGCGCTGTCCTCGCCGCGAGTCGCCCATGTATCTCCTCGAGCTCATCATCGAGAAACTCGGACCTCGACCTCGGGAACTAAGGTCCGACGAGCGACGCTGTCGTCGACGAATCCGGCCCGGCACGCAGCAAAGCAAATACCTGTGCAGTCGAAATCCTTGGCATTTTAAACACCGTGCTCGTCTGTTGTAATCAGACTGCGGATTTTGATGCAAAATGAATATTGTCTGTATTAATTACGAGATACAGGAATTACAGATGCATTTATTTCTTTTCTTAATAATTTGAACGAGTTTTTAACGAGAATAATATGAGAATGTTATTCTTATTATTAAGAGAATGTTATTATTATTCTTATTTGAGAAAATTATCCGAACGTTTTTACTGTTTTCAGATCGATCTGCTCATTTTTCGTCACAAGCGCATAACATTCGCAGTCCGGTTGTAATTAAGTCGCGAATCTCGTGCATTCATATTTTATTAAATGCGCCAGTCAATACGTGTGCCCTCCTTCGTTGTATGTATAGTCCTTCATGCTTAATAATCCGAACGCATTCCAGTCGAGGAATCTCTAAAAGAATTTAATCGCGACGAAGCTACAATTGAACGATTAAACGCGGAAAGAAAGATACAGAGGTGCGAATTTGCATGGAGAACGAAGGCTTTATTGTGTTCTTTTGCAAGTATTTCTGCAAACAGAGACGAAATAACGGATGAAGCGTGGTATAATGAAATTCTCACGGCAATATGGACGCACTGACTCCCGTCACTAATGAAATAAATTTTTCCATCATTTTATCTTGATTGTCTTTGTAATCCATTCGCGGGAACTGAGATTTGCATAATAATCCACACAGTCGATTTATTATTCCTTTCACGTCAAACTCTGGTTTAAATCTGAATCATGCTGATGGAAACCCGTTCAGGAGAATTCACGCAGTAAGCTAAAAAGTTTCCATTTTGTGGATAGCATTAAATCCGCATGCAGGCACGTACACGTGCTTCATCCTGCTTAAAGTTATTCTAAAATTAATATAAATGAGATGAAAAGATACCGACGCAGGTAATTATGCTACGGCTACATATGCGAACCGAGAATTTTCTACGAAGCAGGAATTAAAGGAGAAATTTATTTCTCCTGTTCGAGGGAGCTCAGAAGTAGAACAAAAGTCTTGCTAAATTTCCATTACATCGTTTTCTCTCTCAGAGATCGTAATCCTTGTTTATTCAAAAGTGGAATTATCCCGGCCGAATGTTGTCGGCAATTGGAATCAGCTTCCGGAAGCGCGGAGATTCCGCTCGGATGGTGCGTTTCAAATTTTTATCCAAAAACATTGGACCTGTAAGCGTCGGGGAAGTGCTCGCCGCGCGTTCAGCGGTCCGTCAATGGCAGCTTACCAACGATTATTCAATCGTCCGGTCGGCTGCAGCTTTCGAGACCTCGAATCTCGTCCACGCGGCTGCAGCTCCGGGCCCCGGCCATCGAATATGTTGCAAATTAATTGCTGCACCATTGCATCACGTCGGGCGCAATAAAAGCGACGGATTGTTCGACGATGTTTTTTATCGGCGACCGCGAACATCGCGTGGAAAATGTGGGTCGCCATTCGTCCAGCTATTTGCCAGGTGTCAAATCGTTGCCAAAATTTTTTCCCCGCTGCGCGTGAACATTGATATACATATCGCGAAAGAATTACCCGGAATTTCGCGTTCCAAAAGATCCGCAGTATAAAGCATCGCTGTAATTCAGTGTGGACCGTGAATTCAATCGCTATCAATCAACCATTGTGCTCACGTTACGTGTATTGCCTTGTAACGAAAATTGAGCCATCGAATGAAACACCGTGAAACACATCTCGATATAATTACGACTTTAATTTAATGCACGAATAATATGCATGATTGCTACAGAACTGAAAGATCTAGAATGAAAAGTCAAAGCAAACCCGGTCATGTGCATCCACTAAGCCGATCGGTTCTAATAAAAACCGTCGAGATAAAGACATTATCGAGAGCTAGAAAGCTGCGTTCTTCTAAGAATGCAAAGAAGCAATATAGAAAATAATTTTCGTATATTTATCAGAGAAATTTAACCTCGGGTAGAATCTATTTTGAAGGCAACAAAACCTTTCTTGGCGAATCAATTTACTTGCAAATTGTACGAATGTTTTACGAGGTCCGCATGCTCTTTTGAAAATATTTTCCAAAGTGCGAACGGGCTCCCGTTGGAACGCGTTTCAATCGACGCGACGGGACATCGAGGACCGCGGCAGAACCGGGAAAGGGAGGAACGGTTCGTCGAATCACCTGTCAAAGTATTTCCTGAACGTTCCGCTGACGCAGTAGAGCGCGATCGGGTTGATGCAGCTGTTGATGAACGCTAGACAGAAGCCGAGGATCCGGAAGTAGTGCCAGAAAGCGTTATAGTCCCTCTCGGCGGTCGGGTGGATGTAGAACCATAGCATGAACACGTGCTGCGGGAAGAAGCAAACGGCGAACACGATCACGAACGCCATCACCATCTTCGCTACCTTCTTCCGAGCCTTCACTTGCTTCACCTGAAAACAAACCGGTTGCTGGACCGCCGGTTAACTATAACTTCCCCCCCCAAAGAGCAACCGTTTGACCATCCTACGGTCTTCGCGAAGTTGCGATTCATTCCGCACGACTGCCCGCCGAAACTTTCGCGCGAAACTTTCAGCTCCTTTCGACCCATCGTATTCGTTTCTAATAAATCATCAGCCCGCCCCCGCCTTTCGAGGCGTTCGCGAACTTCGATGGGGATCAATAAGCCCTGGGATAACTCGCGTTCCTTTCAGAAGTTGTTCCGGTCCGACGAGGAATCGACGCGCCATTGTCACTCACCTGACCTTGCATCTCCCCGGGAATGTTCCGCGTGCTCTTCATCAGATGACGGGCCATCAGAACGTAGAATACCGCGATTATGGTCAGAGGAATCGCGTAGTAAATGAAGAACCGGCAGATTAGGATCGTTTTCGGGTAGTTCGGGCCGAATTCCTCCGGGAAGGGGTAGCAGACCTTGAAGAAGCAATCGATTTTAATCTTTTGATCTGTGCAGTGGGTCGCTCGATTCACTTAGCGAAATTGCCAAGGGTCTTTCGAAGGTCAGAGATCAGGGGATTACATTTGTTTGATTCCTCGTTATTAAATTAGGATATGAGAGAGAAAAGCTAGATTTACAGTATAGTACAGTACACAGGGTGTTCCAAAAATGTGTCGAAATTTGGAAATGGAGGGTTTCCTGAGGTCATTTGGAGTAACTTTTTCCTTTATGGAAATGCAATCCGCGGCTTTTTGTTTACCAGTTATTAACGAAAAATAGTGACCAATAAGAGGGGAGCTCGACTGCCGCGAGGCTAAGCTCATTGGCTCGGCCTCGCTACAGTTGATCTTGCTTCTCATTGGTCACTATTTGAATAACTGGTAAATAAAGCTGCGGATTGCATTTCCGCTAGGAAAAAGGTTACTTTAAATGAGCTCAGGAATCCCCCATTTTTGGATTGCGAGACATTTTTGGAATACCCTGTAGAATACAGTAGAATAGAATGGACTAAAAAAAAACTAGATTATAGTAGTGTAAAATGGAGCAGAAAGTACAGTAGAATGAAGTGTAGTAGAATATAGTATAGTAGAATAGAGTAGAATAAAGTAGAATAAAGTAGAATAAAGTAGAATAGAGTAGAATAGAGTAGAATAAAGTAGAATAAAGTAGAATAAAGTAGAATAAAGTAGAATAAAGTAGAATAAAGTAGAATAAAGTAGAATAAAGTAGAATAAAGTAGAATAAAGTAGGATAGAGTAGAATAGAGTAGAATAGAGTAGAATAGAGTAGAATAAAGTAGAATAAAGTAGAATAAAGTCTGTCTCTTATACACATCTAGATGTGTATAAGAGACAGGAATAAAGCAGAATAAAGCAGAATAATGTAGAATAAAGTAGAATAAAGTCTGTCTCTTATACACATCTAGATGTGTATAAGAGACAGGAATAAAGCAGAATAAAGCAGAATAATGTAGAATAAAGTAGAATAAAGTCTGTCTCTTATACACATCTAGATGTGTATAAGAGACAGGAATAAAGCAGAATAAAGCAGAATAATGTAGAATAAAGTAGAATAAAGTCTGTCTCTTATACACATCTAGATGTGTATAAGAGACAGGAATAAAGCAGAATAAAGCAGAATAATGTAGAATAAAGTAGAATAAAGTCTGTCTCTTATACACATCTAGATGTGTATAAGAGACAGGAATAAAGCAGAATAAAGCAGAATAATGTAGAATAAAGTAGAATAAAGTCTGTCTCTTATACACATCTAGATGTGTATAAGAGACAGGAATAAAGCAGAATAAAGCAGAATAATGTAGAATAAAGTAGAATAAAGTCTGTCTCTTATACACATCTAGATGTGTATAAGAGACAGGAATAAAGCAGAATAAAGCAGAATAATGTAGAATAAAGTAGAATAAAGTCTGTCTCTTATACACATCTAGATGTGTATAAGAGACAGGAATAAAGCAGAATAAAGCAGAATAATGTAGAATAAAGTAGAATAAAGTCTGTCTCTTATACACATCTAGATGTGTATAAGAGACAGGAATAAAGCAGAATAAAGCAGAATAATGTAGAATAAAGTAGAATAAAGTCTGTCTCTTATACACATCTAGATGTGTATAAGAGACAGGAATAAAGCAGAATAAAGCAGAATAATGTAGAATAAAGTAGAATAAAGTAGAATAAAGTAGAATAAAGCAGAATGAAGTAGAATAAAGCAGAATGAAGTAGAATAAAGCAAAATACATTACAATAGAGTGGAAACTGGTAGAATGCTGCACGCGAAGATTTTAAAATAAGAAAATATCATAAAACTATAAACGATCTTCCATCTATTTGCCTCGAATCGATAAGAAAAAAAAAACGGTGATTGCTGCACAGTTCACGAATTGATATTCGCTATAGTATTTTTCTACTGGAGAAAACAAGCAACGATTTCGGATGGCACGGTGGTTTTGTAGATATTGATACCGCAGCTTCTTGTGCCAGGAAAAACAAACGTAATCGTCCGTGGGCAATATTCGTATGCAGCGTGGCATCGTAAGAAAATCGGGCAATAAACCGAATTCCCTATGGACGATGTTCGAACTTACGAAGAAGCTCACGTCCTTGTTCACCCTGAAGGTTTTGATGTAGGCGAACGAAGCGGGAATGGCGCAGATAATGGCCAACAGCCAAATCAACGTGGCGACGATTATGGCAAACCGCGTCGCTCGCCTCCCCGTACCTAGAACAGCAAAAAAGATAATACGTTGGTCACGGTTTTGCCCCCGGTATCTCGTTCTTTATTGTTACGTTTCGCGGATCTTCTCCTAGAATCGTGTGGCACGCGAAACGGTTTTTGCGGGCAAGACGAATCTCTTGGTCCTCGTTCCATGAATCCATGCTGCCGCGTTTAAGCGCTTCGCGAATGTAGCCCGCATTTAACCGAAACTTCCAGCTGAATTAACCGGCTCGTAATCATCGTTCGATATTTGTAAATTAACCTGCCGCAGATGCAATCTATTAGGTCGGTCCATAATTTCCCGGTTAATAATTACTTAACCGTTATGTGTCATGTGTCATTCGATAGCCTTGGTTTTCTCCTGTTGACCGATACTTTACTTATTTGTATAAAAGTGATTAATTTTTCGAGAAATATGGAGTGTCATGTTAACAAAAAATTCGTACTACAACGATCAATTTTTTGATAAATATGGAGTGTTAAGTTTACAAGAATGAACATTTATGAACAAGTACGAACTTACGTATCGACCTATTATTTTGTAATATTTTATTATATTATGCATATAACAGATATAATATTATATTAGTTTATTAATTCCCTTTTGTTCAGATATAATTGAGCAGAGCCACAGCGAAAGAATCGTTCAGCCGAAACGATTTATAACTAAGTACCGGAGAGCTGTTGAGAGAAACTTTGCACGAACTTGCAGGAGTAAGCATGAAGTTTCGTTTGCATTGCAAGAAAAATTGCAATTGTTAACATTTCGTGGAGGATTATTCGGTAAAGTCGGAGGGTAATTGAGATACTGCTGGTCTTTATATGCAAAAGAAAGATCGTCTGCATCGACTGGAACGAGCTGAAGTTATATGGATACACGTTCCTGCATTTTTTTAGTTTCATACAGTCAAATTAATATAACAATATTATGCATAAATGCATAAAATTCTTAATCTAGTGATTACGCCGAATAGATAATTATTAATGATAACGTAATCTATTTATTAATTACATTGTAATTCGAAATTAATGTAATTCAATTACTTATATAGTATTTTGTAATCGTACTTCTATTTAATTACGAATTACATTGTAATATAATTGAATGGCGATTACAATTACAAATTACAGTGTAATCGAATTACTTTGTAATTTAATGGAATGGCGATCTCAATTACGAATTACAATATAATCGAATTACTTTATAATATAATTGAATGGCGATCTCAATTACGAATTACAATGTAAACGAATTACTTTGTAATTGAATTGAATGGCGATCTCAATTACGAATTACAATATAATCGAATTACTTTATAATATAATTGAATGGCGATCTCAATTACGAATTACAATGTAATCGAATTACTTTGTAATATAATTGAATGGCGATCTCAATTACGAATTACAATGTAAACGAGTTACTTTGTAATTTAATTGAATGGCGATCTCAATTACGAATTACAATATAATCGAATTACTTTATAATATAATTGAATGTGGCGATCTTAATTACGAATTACAATGTAATCGAATTACTTTGTAATTATAGTTTCTTGAATAATTCGGTCGTAATTCTACACGATCCCAGTTTAAGACCATGGAAGCGTTTATGTAGATACAGTTATGGATCAGGTAATGAAAGAAGTGAAATCTGAACCTGTAGCATGAAGTTTCCTCATCGGATCGACGATGGCGAAGAACCTGTCAGCCGATAGGGCTGTCAACGTGAACACCGATACACCGACTGAAATATCCTTGACACATTCGGTGATTTTGCACATCACAAGCCCGAAAGGCCATGAATCCAGTATGTAGAAGATGAAGGTGACTGGCACCGATGTCATTATTACCTGCGGCGTAACATTGAAGAGACGTGTCAGGAAACGATCGCACAGAAGTGCGTTAATTATCGATCCTCCTGGGTACAGCGAAGCTACTAAATCTGGGACCACGTTATTATCTCTCGTGTCTTAGAAATTGATTAGCTCTGACTTAGGAATAGATTAACCTCTTGCTGTGCCGTTATTCAAAATTACGATAATTGGAACTATTGCAATTGTGATATTCGCTTAGAAGAAAAAGAATATTTATATTTATTGCGTGCCTATGTTGATGACAGGAGAATAGGGCGATTTCATTCCGACAGAAAAGCAGGAAAAACGAAAAAAACGAAGACGTTTCTTCCGGCCAACAGTATTTCCATATTATACGATTTATTGCGTTTTGTGAATATGGAATTGAGTCTATGCAACAATTACTTTCTTAACGATTTTTCGATATAATTGAACTTAGTAACGTAAGAGAGCATTATTTTGAACAATCAAACAACTGACTAAACGAACTAGCAATTGTTCTTATAAAAGGATGTATTAAATTGTTATGATTAGATCGCGGATCTCGAAATAAATATTATCGAAGTTAATTGTAAGAAATGTAAGTTAGTTGAAAATGTCTTTCCCTTCTTAATAATTGTGATAAGATGAAAATAATGTAACAATATCTTGAAGCGTTTCTAATGTCCTCACAATTTTGCACCTGACTTATTATTTATTCGATCATGAATGCATAAAATTTCTAGATCGATCATTACACAAACGTGCATTTAATTGAACAAATGCTCTTCGTTACGCATCTATCGATGCATCAAAAAATTTGATCACCTTTTAATTGCGTTTGTGCCCGTTCAATTAAAACGTCGACTGTATCGTTGTCGACGTCCCAACAATACAACGACTCGCTATTAATTAGTTCTTGCAAAGTGTACTTTTAATTAAGGTGTGAATTCTGTAAGAGCAATCGCCAAGGACAAATCCTACCAGTCAGTCTTTGTTTAATTAAAAAATCACGCCGATTAAAACAACGTGCACGCAGAACGAGTGAAGAGTCTGTGAAATAAGGGCGTTTAAAATACTCCCTTGTGGAATGGAACCTCGGAAATTTTCGTGAAACCCTGGGCTGGTTCGGGCTCGGGTTTGAGCTCGGGCTCGGCAATCAACACTTTGAAAGTAGTCCCAGGTTGGAGCTTCGCGACCCGACGCACGATGTGATATTTTTATAATCTAAGGGATACTTAATTCTTAATGACTGTTCTTTCTGTTTTCTCATTATGTATTTGATTATAATTACTTAGACCGTGGATTTATAATAATTTTTAACGCGACTTCGTAAGTTTAACTAAAATATATAAACAGGGTGTTCGGAAAATCGTAGTACAATTAGCAAGGGGACGATTCTCCATGCGAAAATAAGACGAAGAAAAGAAAAATATTTTTTCATTTAACGCTCTGTCATGACATTCCGATTCTACTTCTCGCCATCCTCAAAAATGTTATTCTTTTTCATCGACTTATTTGTGCACATAAAATTATCCCGTTGCCAGTTGTTCCACGATTTTCCGAACACCTTGTAAGTAGGAAAAGAATTCATTTTAGATGCTCAGTGAAGAGCGAAGCCCATATCTGCCCATACAATGAAGTTCTAGTCTTCAGAATATTAGTATATAATTAAAAGTTGTTCGATCTAGTATGGATCATGTATTACAAGCTATCATATATTCTACGTAGACAATTTTTGAATAAATAAATATTAAAAACACACCTTGAGGAGTGCAATAATTGCCAAAATAAATATACAATACCAATCAAAGCTCAAATTCAAAAGGTTCTCGCTATGAAACAGTGTTCTCTTCGGACATATTTATCTTATCCGAATGCAATATGCAGAAATTTCTCCCAGAAATGTTCGGAGGTCGGATTTGAATCCGGCAGATCTGAGAATAATAAATCGCGATTCCTCGAGCCTCGCGGCTCGTTTTTACAGAAGCTCGGGACACTTGGCAAAAAAAGGCAGCGGCCAACATGCCGGTGTACATTAACATGAATACATAGTAATGCTAGAATAAAAACGATGATGTATTAGTCGACCCTTAAGCATTGACGTAGCAATAAATTACATAGGCGCAGGACTGACCCAGGGAAATTCACGGTAACCCGAAATTTGGCATTTCCTGGAGAAATTACTGTAAATATTACGAGTACCTGGCCACTGTGATATTGCGCTCAAAGTAAGGGTAACTCGAGCAATTTCCCAAAGTAGGACTAACCCAGGGAAATTCACGGTAACCCGAAATTTGGCATTTCCGGGAGAAATTACTGTAAATATTACGAGTACCTGGCCATTGAGATATTGCGCTCAGTGTAAGGATAACTCGAGCAATTTCCCAAAGCATTCAATTTCGGATTTAAATCGTCCCAGGTTGTAGAAATATCACACGGCGCAGCGGAGCCGATAGAAAGGGGCGCGCGGTCCAGTAAACCGGGTGGAAAGTTAATCCGGGAAAGGGGATCGCGTCTAGTAAGAATAAACACGTGCCAGCAGGTCTCCCAACGCCAGCGAGAAGACATAAATATTGGGGACATTCTTCATGTTACTGTGCCGCAGTATGGTTAACGCGAGCACGCCGTTTCCGGTCAGCCCGATCAGCAGTATCAGCAGAAACACGATCGGCACGATGTACGTCTCCGGCCGCTCTTCGTACGGCGTATAGTTCTCCTCTTTTTCGTCCTCGCTCTTCGGGAACGTCTGGTCGATCACGTCGTAAACGGTGCTGACGCTCGTGTAATGCCCGGACGCCGCGATCCTGGACGTCCCTGCCCTCAGGATCGTCGAGGACGTCGTCGCCCACGCGACCGACATCGGCGACACCGATGACTGGAACATGATTTCCAGCGTTCCCGGCCTATGGTTCCTCAGCGATCGCGAGAAGATTCCTTCCGGTCTCACATCTTGATCCCCGGCTCGCTGGCTAATATTCTTTCCCGGCTCTCTCTCTTTCTGTCTCTCGGAAAGAGAGCGGTGCTTATCGGAGACCCTGCGAATTAGAAATGAATCCACGTTAAAGAGGCTCTCGGCGAAACGACGCGGAATAGCGGAAAATGGCCGGGTAATTTTTGAACTACGTTCGAGATCCTAACCGTTCTAACCGATCCCGGAAGCATTGTACTGTCCTCCGCCGAGGGAGATACCCCGCTTAGCTCGAAGCGATTAGCTCGGAACCGGTCGAACGCTCTCCGCTTCCGTTCTTCGGGTTGCACGTGTGGGATTTGAAGGAATAAGCTGGAAATTCCGAGCCAGATTGTATTATACGACACACTTTTCTCACGGAAATTGCGTAAATTTGGCAGGGACGTGGGGATTTCTTCGTCCTGGAGCTAGTGGAATAGCCGAGCAATGATCAGACACAGCGATGGGAACTCGTGGGAACTCGAGATCGATATTTTTTACACGTATTTTCTTTAAAGAAAATTTATTTAGTTTAAGAATAATTTGGTTGAATAATAATATGAGACATAATTGATGTGTACGTCAAACTTAATTAACTTATACGAATCCGTGCTCGCTGTAGATTTGTGCCATTATGATTTTTATTTTGTTAAGGTAAGAGGTTTGGAAATGGCTTTATGGGCGACCATTTATGAGTTTTTTGTAATCCGTTTAGGGCAATGGCAATTTCTTTAGCGGACCGGTTCGACACATAAATTAAATAGTTTTTAGGATGATGACGGTCATGCCATCATTTAGGTTCTGGAAACCCTTACCATAAAGCCCCAAGGCTAAGGGACCAGAGAATCGGCCGCTAGATATCGGCATCGGCAATCTTGGCCAGCTGGACTTTCCCGGCCTTTCCAAACACCCCTCCACCCGCAAGCGCAAGCGGCCCATGCAGTCATCCCTACCAGAGACAACGTGCTT